TTGCAGAGGGTGGTTGCAACCAGTGTTTCTGATTGGTAGAAAAATGTTTCTTACTCCCAAAGCTCTGACAAATTTATTATAGCATACAAAACAAATGCCTTCAATTCCTTTTTTGAAGCCTTCTACATCTCCCCTAAACGATTATGGTCACCATAAAAAGTGGACGCATTACAGCATCCCGAATGGACATCAACAGATTGGATACCACAAAACAGTAATATTACTGTTCTGTGTTGGATACTACACTACCTTACTCCTGCGCAATCACATTATATTATATTATCCAACATTTACAACCGTTACATACAACTCCCATACCTCTGAACGCTGTGGAAATTCTTTACAGTAACTTTGATCGCAAAACCAACGCCGCAATCTCATTAGACTATTTTCCTACCGACCTATTTCTCTCCTAAGCTGCGTCGCATCCTTTCCGCGAAATAGGATTTGTTTATTCGAGAAAGTTCTATACTGCATTCATTATAAGAAGGTAGTAGATGGCGCTGTGTTTAAAGATAGACCATAGATATATAAATACATAGATACAGCCATACCCCAACATAGTTCAAAAGGACGTACCATCTATTACCATCACTTTCGGCACAATAATTACGTATAGCGCTATCCTTTATAGAGGTACCCTGAGTGTGGAAGACAAGATTCGCATTATTTATTATAACTGTCAATCAAATTGTTAGCACAAATCACACAGAAAATTATCAGATTTGAGACTTTACAACATAAATAAACCGCCTTTTTATTTATTGAAATCGCATAGCAGCAAGAAATGTTACCTTTAAAATGGAAGATGTTACTTAGAAAGCTGGCAAATGAAGAATTTGAAAAAATTACAGCTGACAACTGGAAGAAAGTGTGTGAACATGTGGAAAGTGATTAATTTAAAAGAGAAGTTATATTTGGTTGATGTGGCTGAACTTTATAATAAGTGTTAATAATGACAGTGATGATTCGAATTTGTCAATTTCATCTGACGATGATTCGGATTGTGAGCTTTTACAAACGTAATGAATGTTCACTAAATGAGTATTATCGCCAATTGGATATCATTGTTAAGGTGTTGTATTTATTTTTAATAAATGTACATGTGTAGCTTACTTACTACAATCAAAGAGTAACCATAATTTACTCTTTGCTACAATTAGCACTATAATTTCAAAAAGAAACCCCACCGAATGGACATATGCCGAAAGGTAGGCAAGACGCGTAGCGACCAAAATTTGATATTGCACGCACACACAGTCTAAAAACTCGTTTTCCTAAGAATATTGCACGGATCCTTCTTTGTGATCATGATACAAACGCACTGCATCAACATCATATAGGCCAAAATGATAATTGGAAACGAATTCACTTCCTGTCGCAACTTAATCTCCTTTACCATTACGCCTAAAACCATGCAATTAAAATTAAAATGTTGAACATAAACTTTACTTACTTACGGTTTTTTTGATATTCTGCAAGCCAGCAATGAATTCACTGCAGCACATCATGTCAAACAAGGTAAACATAATCACAAATTTGAATGGCGTAGCTCTATGTAATAAAACTATTTCAGGAATAACAATTATGGACGCGTCTATCATTATGGCAAGCACTAATGTTATTCGTATTCAATTGATAACGCAATAATTACATAATATTTAGTGAAAAAACCGCCCATCATGTTTAGGGCGAATATTTTTAGTTAGATTTGATTTCGCGCGATCGTGAAATGTGTCAACTGTCACATGACTTATGGGACGCGCTTAGTTTTAAGCGTCCGATTCACGTACGACATAGTGGTTAATGCAATAAAAAGAGATAGAACATGTTTAATCTTGATTAGAAAGTAATGGAGAGATGTACAAATTTCTTTGATATGTTTTTTAAAAACCGAGGTACGTTTGTTAAGGATGGCTGTATCTAGGTATTTATATATCTATGAGATAGACGCACACAGGATAAATATAAAACCGCACCAAATTTGAAAAATATGAATATAAATCAAAAGATTTCACGTTTGGATCATTGAAATTGTCATCTAATGTCAGTTCGACAGTTTAGTTCGTAACCGAAACTACTAACATAACAAGATTGGTCACACATTTTATTTTTCGGCGTAATACAGACTCGTGGTTTAACCAATCACAGTGAAGGTCAAAGCTTCCCTATGATTTCTACCACTACCTTCTTAAAATGAATAGAGTATAGAAGTGTTTGTTTGCTATTACAGCAAATTGAATCGTGTTTAAGTTAGTTCCAACATCGATGCCGAAGTGGTAAGTACTGACATTGGCGCTCGTGCGTTTTAAATCTACATGTCATAAATTTTAGTAACAAATAATATTTAACTGCTATAAATCAATCTATTTAAGGACTGTTATAAATGCAAATGCACATAAGTAAATAAATCACGTAATAAATTTAAATTACAATACTATCAATCTCTTACCTCCCTACCATATTGATTTTACATCCCTCAGGTGCACCAAAGTTAAGAGAAAAAGAAAATTACCAGATCAACGGCAACTGCACTCTCGCGGCCTTTCTCCAAATCAGACAAGCATTCGATTCAGTCTGGCACTCTTCCGGACTTAAAAGTTCTGGTCAACATTCCGATCCCTTCACACCTCCCTAATGTTCACTTCTCACACCCTACTCTACATCCTCCACAACCAGAAAAAAACGCCAAAATGAGTTGTACACTCTTCGGTCTCCGCAGAAAACACATATACACGATATAACCGTTTGGGAAAATCACTGGATAATCTTGCCAAGTTCCGAGAAACCACACGCGATACCTACTCTCCAGACACCCTTGGCCTTAAAGTCCACTCAAAACGACGCGGGAATGCGGGAACGGGAGTGGGACTGACGCGGGATATATTTGTACAGCGGCATATGCACGTATGCATACCGATGCAGCAGTTCGCATACGTTATACTTGCATAATCTCGCTGTACAAATGTATCCCGCGTCCGTCCCGCTGCCGTTCCCGTGTCAGGTTTGATCTTTACTACGGTAAAAACCTACGACAACCACCTGATCACGTTCACCTACACTTGAACAACACACCAGGGTTTACAACTTAGCAAACTATAACATTCAATTCTGACACCCAGGTCCGTTGATGACGTCACATTAGGGTGGGGATATAACTTAACGCGGGCAGCGTTACTAGATCCTTGAGTCATACTCAAGAATACGTGATTCATAGTATTGTGATAGTATACCGAGATTCAAAGGTGCCGCGAAACGTCCGTGGTTTCGAGTTGAAAGTTTAGTGTTGCCAACTGTAAGGAAGTATAGGGTAAGTCAAGCAATGCCGCCAAAGGTCATTACAAAAGTCAGTTCACGACTGCTCTATTTACAGGAAAAGAACTGACAAGGAACCTGTAATGATCTCCTTGAGATCGGCTCGCCAGTCAACTTCTCCTATCGCCAGTAAAAACTCACTTACCTGGCTAATAATATTGTATTTGTATTTATTTAGCATAATATAATTATTTATTGATATAATGAAAAAATTGGCAACAATCACATAAGCCAAGGCTCGTGCGTGATGGGTAATCGAGTATATTACATGTAAGTACACTAATACAAAAAAAAAGAACAAAACAAAAATATAGATCACGTTAGCTTGGAGTAAAAATCCAATTCTACACCTAATAGCCTAAGGGCTAGCGCATACATACAACTTTTAGTTGAACAACTGTTTTGTTGTGTATCATATGTATAAAAGAATATATTTAAGCGCACATACTGTCAACTCGATAGTTGCTCGACAAAAAAGTCAAAAAGCTTTATCGATTTGCTTTTGATTTAAAAGTTGGACAACTATCGATCAAGATCAAGCGCACAATTTGTAATGCATTGTATTGATGTGTACACAAACCATCGACTAAACAGTCGATCCGCGACTGAACTGCAATCACAGAACTGTAAACTGTTCTGTGACTGCAACTGCAATTGCCAGTCTCGTATAAGCATTGGAAGCGGCGTCATGTCTCTTGTCACCATGGCGGGAACTATTTCATTATTTATTTTTTCAATCGATCTCAAGAGTAATCTACCTCAAATAGACTAGATCCTGCATATCTACACTATAGCAGAAATCTTTAGTAAAAATAAGTTTTCTTCGCTCATTCTATAATTTTGAAAAACTTGTCTAGGTGCTCTTTTAGCTTAGAATGTAACGTATGAAATATTCCACTAGCTAGATAATCTATCAATGAGTATGGTATAACAAGTCTCTGCTGAGTATAGGATGTACACAGTATCTGGTCGATTTGAGGACATAAAAAAATCGATTGTATGCGCACCTCCATCAACTAAACTGTTTAGTTGAGTAGAAACATTGAATAATAAATCTTTATTATTCAATGGTAGAAATCACGAAAAGTACAAAACTCGACAAAACAGTTTAGTCGATGCAACAGTTGTATGTATGCGCTCGGCCTAATAGTAAAATACTATTACCTGAAACCGTCAAGAAAATTTAAATTTCAGGGCTATTTTGACATTAGAAAGTTGATCTTTACCTGACTAAGTAGGTACCAAAGAGATGGTTACTCTTTGCTAGTACTGTAATATTTTTGCCTGACTCCCATTTACAGTGCTAGTACATGCAAAATAACAATTAGATCATTCATTGAATAAGTTATTCAATGACTGTATAGTTGAAAAGTACAAAGCATAAACTGCAAACTGCATTAAAAATGACACTGATTGTTTTAATTATTTTGAAGTCTCTATGGAAACAATTAAATAAAGTGATTTTACCATGCGTGATTAGGTATCAAAATTTCACACATATGAATAATTTAATTTGGAAAAGTTTTCTATATACATGTTGCGGTTTCAGGTAAATAACTATTATTTTACTAGTGGCGTAGAGGTAAAATGCAAAATCTTTTGAAATAGTAAATATACCGTCACACTAGATGTATCCGAATGATTTTTAGGGATAAATACGGAATAAATACACTTTATTGGGTGAAACAACTTCTATAATGTTTAGGTACCTCTAAGTTTAACACTGTGTTATTTGCGATAATTCAGGAACTGTTATGGCATTTTTGCACCTAGACTTTGCGTCAACACATTTACTACTAAGCTAAACCCTCTGACACTTTAAGCCCGATTGCGAACCCTCATCAAAATCATTGAAGTTATCAATAATAATGTAATCCAAATCACTAGTGATATAAATCCTTTATAAACAGCTGGACGATTCAGTCCCCATCCTTTAATCATTATACACCGTAGGCTTTCAATTGCGCTAGTTAATGGTATAATTGAAGAAACCCCTTGTAATACGGGACTTATACACTGAGTTGGCCAAATCGTTCCACTAATAAATAGACAAGGCACTATCGATCCCAGCGCCATTGTCGTCGCTGAAAATTCCTTTATGCAGACCGAGGCAATGGTTAATCCTATACAAATAAATCGTATGCAAAGTAACACAAACGTCACATGTATTACCGTAAGCCATTCCGCATAAGCCCACCAAAATTCCTAAGTTGATTATAAGAAGAGAAGATCCATTTTGTGTGATCCCAAATGCGATATATGGAATTCCAAAAACAATAAATACTTCGATGAGCATGCATGTCAATTGCGTAATTAGGTATGATACTGTGAGTTCGGTTAAAGTAGCTCCAGAAAGTAACACTCGGTCCATATCTCCGCCCTTGCGGTCAATTATTAGATATAAAGAGGTCAACGTTATGGACATAAAAAATAATACGCTGAAATTAGTCGTTCAGAACGTTTTTTTTTAAATTTATAAGTACGTACGTGATTGTAACTCCGGGTATATAAAACTCTGTAAAATTTAATTGGGCTGAACCATGCACTGGTTGTTCTACCTGCAAAATTTCTGAATGAATAAGCGTTTTTATTCACAGTTCATGCGAGAGAATAAATAAATATGAGTGATTTCCAACTCAAATATACCCGAGAATATACCTATAACATGCCCGAAAAACATACCCGCACAGGTAGAGTCAGAACCTTTTTCTTTATACCACATTTTTCCAAAAAATTTTGAACAAACAATTGATACCAGTTGTATAAATACATTTTAATGAAGTTGGAAATGGCTGCATCTACAATAGTTTTTGTTAAAATATGGTACGGTGCAACTTGTGGTTATTACTTGTGGTGTCCCATACGACTACAATTTCGCCCTGCTCAAAATCCCACGAGCTTGCAAAATTCCACTGCTTAATTCGGTGTCTTAATCCTGTCGAATAATTCGCTTTTATTATTATTGCAGCATACAGTTTGCCTTTATTAACCGATGTAGTAATCGCCTCTTCGGAGAAATAATCAATCTACAAATGCACTTATTTCACAAATTGAAGCATCCGGAAGATTACCAATGTTAGTCCGTTTTCTTTGAGGTATTGCAAATAGATGCAGCTTAAATGTGTAGCGTTGCAGGTTAAAGTGTAATTGCAATCCGATTGCTTGACTTCGTAATTCAAAAGACCCACGGGTATATCTTTGGGATTATGTCCAATCGCCAAACAAAATGTAGCAATTTGCACAATAGTTACCGAAAAGAATATGAAAACAGTGTCCCAGTTTCGTCTCATCCATGTGAAATGTTTCCATAAAAGTGCATTCACGCGCTGTTTGCTTAAATTTTTTTTAGTGCCTACTGTGTAAACAAGGTTCCCCGTAGTACTACTATCGTGCACTTTATTCAAAGCAGGCTGAACATCATTTACAATAAAATCATCTTCTTCAGGGTCATGTGTATCGTCTGTATTCTGTTTTAGACTCACTTTAAGAAACACTTGTTCAAGAGAATCAACATTAAAACGTAACATCAAATCACGTGGGGAATCTTCACCAAGCAAACATCCCTTTCGAAGGAATCCTACCTGTGAAGGAGACAGAAGATATCAAAATGTATAGACTTGGAATAACGTGCGTAAAGGATAATGACTCGGGAGGGAGCGTAAGTAGTTTCTTCAAAAAATGTAAGAAAAGTCGTGATCTTGAAAAACATTACCATATTAGAGTCCTTTCACATTAACTTACTACATCTGCCTGAGAAGTTTCTTCTATATAATGGGTTGTGATTATAATTGTCGATTTCCTACGTATTTTTAATAAATGATCCCAAATCTCTTTACGTAAAATGGAATCCAAACCAACTGTAGGTTCATCGAGGACTAACAGTTCTGGTTCATGTACCAAGGCACACGCCAATGAGACTCTCCGCTGCTGACCACCGCTAAGATTGTTTATCACCATTTTGTAATCAGGTAAAGCCAATAGGGTACTTAGAAACTGGATTCTCGATACTATCCTGTCCTGTTCTAATCCATTTAACCAACCAAAATACCTTATTGCTTCTTCGATTGTAAAAAACGGCATTAATCCAAGTTCCTATAATTACACAGTGCTATAGGTTTGTTTTCTCAATAGGTAGGCGCAAAAGACTTGCTTGTGGCATGTAACCAACTCTGGGTCCCGGTATTCCAGTTTCCTTCGAACCGGATATGGCGCCGAAGACTAGTATTGTCCCAGAATCAACTTTTTTGAGGCCTAAAATGCAATTCAGAAGTGTTGTTTTGCCGCAGCCACTCGAACCTAATAGTCCATATCTGTAACAATAAAGATGGTTGTTGGTTTGTGCAGTACCGTACCACAGTAACCGTACCACGTAATAACAATGGGAATATTCGGCCGACAGAGATCAGTTAGGTGACAACGTTTTGTGTCTCTTGAGACCACTGAATCAAGTTTTGCAGTTCACCCCGCTGTTGCAGCATTGGAATACCATTATTAGGCTAGAAATACCTCCCGCACCGAACCAAGTACCTATTGGAGTACCGATACTTATAATCCGAAAACAAAGGCCACTTTTGATGTTGTAGCCACCAGACGCGAGATGTTCGCACAGTAATGCTACAAAAGGTAGCGGCTTTATCAACACTCGACAAAAATCTCTCTCCCCGTCTGCAAGAAGGAGGTAGGGAACGTTTTCCGTTATCCGCGATTCTTGACGAAAAGTGTCGTGCGAAAGTATTTATGTTGGTTTTAGGAGTCGAAGAGATAACGTAAACGTAATTGATTTAATGTCTAGAGTTGTGCTTCAGCCGCCGTTATCGTAAACAAAAGCTGTAATTAATTCGTCGTTTGCAACCGTTCACGTCAACATATTTCAATTATCTTTGTTGCGGCCTAAAGCTCTTGTCATTTAGAAGACGAGAGCAAATTCATATTTTAGAATTTCAGTTAAATAATATTATTAGATGATTTAGTTTCCCTATGCTAATTTAAAAACGCGCATTAAAACTGCAAGGCCATGCAGTTTTATGCACGCATCAGTTGATAAAGGGTCTTTTGGGCTGACCTGGGAAATTCCAAGAGACAATAGGTGTTCATATTAGAATGATGAATTTAGAAATATTATCCGGCAAGTTAAGTGTAATTTATTATCGGTAGCTAATTAAATGAGATGCAGTAAACAGCATCCGATTAGGTCGTGATGGATCTTAAAAGAAGCGCTTTTAATTAATTTAAATCGGACGTAAGCAGGCTCCACAATGAATTAAGGAAGTTTTAATTTTTAGATGTAGATAACCGAATACGCTGTGTGTCGGCTGGTGAACTGTCGATCCCTTCATGAAATAGCCGAATTTTTTAAAAGGTAAAGTGTTGTTTAGAAAGGATCTTTTGCATCCTCGTAAGCTACGCTTCCTTCTATTATTATAAAGGGGGATATCGTTTCACTTTCCTGCATTTGATTTCTCGTAGACACTGTTAATTGTTAATTAATTCGTGCTTGCATTCCCGTTAGTCGCTGCTGTATCCGTGTACCGTAATTCTGCTTTCAGTTCCTTCGCATCCCTTGGTGGCGTTCGAGTCCAACAGTTCTTCCCGTTCCGTCAGCTTCCGTTTGAGTTGAAAGTGATTTATACTTAATTTAATTGTAAATGTAAGCAAATACCTTAATATATTAATACAGGAAACTCGCTACTATTTGCATTTGCGTACGTGTGACACGTGAATGAGCGCCATCTTTACGGCGCGGTGTGCAATGACGAAAAAATAAGAAGAGAATTATTTATATTCCCAAGAGTATTTAACATCATAGGGGTATGATATTATCAAATACCATCATATTATCAGTTTATCCATAAAGAATTTTGCAAAATAATCTGTAAAAATAATAAATACCCTAAAAAAGCGAGTTAATATTCATCTGCTCATTTCTGTACCTTGGTAGATAATTTCTTTTGCCTTTTCAGGTTTCTAATAAGGTAAGGTGGGGTAAGTTTATTTGGAGGAAGTGGAATAATGAAGAAATAATACGAAAACCATTGCGAATACTAGAGGTTTCATATAATAAACTACTAAAGGAAGTCTCTCAGCTAACTGTTAGTGTAGCAGTACCTACAGTTAAATCTTTATTTTGCCTTAAGAGCTTATATATTTTGTAAACAACCTGTTTATGTTTTTAAAAGTCTTTCCTTTGTGTTCTTAAAAAGTTTGTATTTTTTTTATTTAACAGGTAATTAAAAAATTCGAAAAACTGCTCTGAATCCTCAAATTTTGTAGATTTCCACACATCACTACATGCATTTATATGGAAAATCCAGCACGATTGTAATATCGACACCAAAAAAGAAAACACAGACATAAAGGTAAAGATGCATTGGTAAAAATTGGTAACTGTGGCCACTGACCACCCACTGCTTGCACCTAAAATGAAAACAATAGTATAAGCTAGGCCCTACATAACATAAAACTTCATAGAAATTTGTGGAAAAATATAAAACTTACAATTTGGGTATATACAATAAAGTTACTTACACTTCTGTATTTAAAGGAAATCGAAAGAATGCTTTTGAACAATTTTTCACAGTGGCATTGCAACAACCATACACAGCACAGACCCCACCAGACATGCTGTTTTACGACTTTTTCTCTTCAAAAATCCAAATCAAAAGTTGCAAAAATTTCAAATCAAATATGACATTTGATTGTGAACACACCCTACCGCACGGTGGCGCTGCAGTCACTTGCGACAGGTTGTCAACGTGAGTTTCCTGTATTATTATATTATGTAAGTGCCTCTACACTATATTAAATTTAATTTAACTAATTACAGCGGATAATTTTAAAAGCTCACCGATTGTCGTAAGGTCGCGCACCCCAATCCCAATTCAATTTTCCTATCGCTCTTTCGCTTAGTTCTCCTCCGCTCAGGTTTACTCTCAAAAACGGAACGAACGCAGCTGAAGACCGCACCTGCACTTAACGCCCTAACTAATGCGGCCCAACAGCTTTTCAGGGTCCTACTCTGCCAACTCTCCATAGAAATTATTCGATTTATTAAACCCGTGGCACTATTTTTCAACTTACGTGCGTATTCTCACCGAAATATCATTAGCTCGTCTAAATGCCACCTTCCCACCACGGTTCCATAGGTAATGAGTGCCTCCCCATTAACATATCCCGGTTATGGGCCTTTTATCGGGCAAGAGTTAAGACTCAAAAGGCATATGTCGGACTAATCATTGAATAAAAAATCTATTTTCAACGACTAGGCGCTGGAGGTTTCGTCATCTGCGCTCGCGTCTAAGCTTGTTGGCAGTGCAAGATGGTGGTCTAGTTATATAACTAAGAATCAATATACCTAGGTACCTTTATATTTTAACAAAATCGGAGATAGCGTTAGATTGCCAAAACGGCAACGTATACTCTTAAAAAATGACAAATTATTCATTTCAATTTGGCCAATGAAGAAAAGAAGATTCTTACGCGAGATTCATGTTTGGTTAAAATCGGGTCTTCCCTTGGTGAAGTAAAGTGGATTTTTGTCTTGAACTTGTTTTGCGGTGCGGGGGTGTGACTGAGATTAAAAAGTTAAAAAAAACTCTTCTTCAGCTATAGAGCACACAGGGCAGTTTAAATGGGTAGTATCTGTTCATACTTACATGCAACCTTTAGGAATGGTCATATTTAAGCCATTTAAAACAGTAAGTGGTTTTGCTTTGGTACCATATTGTTTATAAGCTCGCCGAACAGACACCGCTGCAACACCTTGCTGAGAGTGCTGTGCCATATTCAAAAGTGAGCAATTATATTAACTCCTACAACTCACACAATGGAATAGCTACTGGGAATTTAGCTTGAAATCGTTTATTGATTTACTGAGAGTTTACCTTTCTGATAATGTTCTGTGCTTATTAAAAATTAATCCACTTACTGCATTAATATAGATTATTTCAGATACCTCTACTTTTAACCAATGTTTAATGTACCTACATCGACAGTCAAACAGTCATTAAAACAAGAGAAACGTCGAGTGATTGAAAACAAATGATCTAAATCATAATTTTGTATTATACTATGCCTAAATAAATAAATAAATGTTGTTTCGAAAAATGATCAATTTCACTTTTCTTTTAGAATGTATCGTAATTACACACAGTGGCCTGTAAATGAATTTCGGAAATCGTCTGTCCGGCATCTGGATTAGATTCGGTTATCTTAATTAGTGATTTAAAATTGCGAATTAAGCATGAGGTCATCTTTGGATTGTGTAAAATGAAACGTACGTGGGATTAATTTATTACAGTAGTTTTCATTTAATTCGTAGGGCAGGAACGAACGAGATGAATCTGTGATTAAAGATGCCCGTTGTTATTAATAAGGCGCTATTTTTGTAGGCATTTTCGTGGGACGAGAGTTCGCGAAATTTACCTTGAGGAGAACTAATCCGGGGGAGAAGAATTCGGTCTTTAGGTCGCGAGAGCATGAATTTCGCAGATCCAATTTACCAGTTACATAAAGTAATATCTAGAATTGATAGTTAACTGAATGTGTCATTTATCACACCACAATAAATAATGCTTGTTCAAACGGGCGAAATAAAGACTATAGTAAAATACGCGCCGAAATTAGAATAGGGAAGTCAAAGCGATAATATTTAAATTAATTAATATAACAGGCAGATCCTCGTTTGTTGTAGGTAGTTACTTTGGTTGCATAAAATTAGGCGTCTTTCATGAGACTTTTTATCATGTAAAAGCAGACATAGAGGAAATTCCTATAGGAAATCCCTATGTCTACTTCTACATGAATATCACTGTATGATCTAAGCCTACCACCCTTAGACTATGGAACAAAGGGGACTGATTATACGAGGGCTATTTTTTTTTCAACCTCCGGTGGGCTATAAATAAAAGACAAGTAAAGAGAAAAAAATTGTTTTATTACCAAAATGTACGTAAACTTATGCTTATTGCTCAACATAATCACCATGAAGATTATATATATTTCCAATACCCTCTTCATAAAATGTTACCGCCAGTGAATTGAAATGAGTCTTTTTGTAGCCTAAATGTTCGGTAACAATAGAGTGCAGAGAAGCTCTTGACACTTCTGGAAATTCCACAGACAAAGGACTTATTGTGAATCTACGGTTTTCTTTGACCACCTTGTCAACTCATTCAACAAGGTCGTCTGTAAGACAGACTTGCGTCCTTGACCTCCTTCATCATGCACGTCAGTTCGGCCATCTAAACTTAGGGCATCATTCCCGTACAACACCATCACTCATAATGTTTTCTGCGTAAACGCGGCATATTCTCCGATGGATTTCTGCTGCACTATTTCCTTCTGCTTGCAAGAAACGAATAACACTTCTCAACTTGGCGGGAGAATCAATAGACGCGGCAATGTTTATGCGACTGCAGCTCAGCACAAGCTGGCTACTTGAACTCGGCAGTGACATATGTTGTGGTGCGGAAGATCCGCGATCGACTACTGCGCACACCGCGGGCCTGCGACTTGTCTACCCGTCACCGCATGAGATCGGAGGTTGAAAAAAAAACGGCCCTCGTATCAAGAACAATATTGCGCGTTGAAGCAAATTTTCGTTCAGCGACCATATTCTCGGTGCACAAAACTGGATAATTATGTATTATAATTAATAGAATGGATATGCATAAATTTCTAACGCATCACTTACTTCATTTGTGGTGTCGTACAGAAGAGTTGTGCACAATGACTACTTGTCACTACGTTTGTATTTAAATTTTGTTCCTACAGTTGTTGCTTTAACCATTGTTTAAAAGTATTTAAACAACGTTTAACCTGACGCCATGTAGGGGGCCATGTTTTGGACGTGTAAAGAAATTACATTTGCCTCACTTTAGGAACATTATCATTCCTCTCTCTTCCCTTTCCTAAGGTACCACTAATAGCATAGTGTTCTATTCTTTACACTAAGCTAATAGTAATTACAATGTGCTGCCACCAGAGGGCTCACGTGTCACAGTTAATCTGAATCGCGAATACAATATTGAAACAAAACTGAAGAAAGGAGATGTGGACTGCTGCGCGTCCATGATTTTCTGCGCACAGAAATTTTGTCTACAAAACAGACCGATGACGGAGTTCACATATTATTTCCAACATTTAAAAACATTAACTGCTTCCCTCAATCAAAGGAAATGGTAACCAGCAAAATGTAGAGGGGTTAGTTGAGCAATTTTTTTTCAAATTTTCGACAAACCCGTAAATTCTGAGTATTTTTTGGAAATTCAGACTTCAATTATAAAGTCGCAAATGTTCGAATTTAAGTATGAAATTACAAGTGTTAAGTACAAATGTCCAAGTGAGACTATGAAATATAAAAAGTAACTTAATTGTGACCTTTCTATGGCTATCTGTATTCTATATAAAGTTTTATACATGAGTAAGTGTTAGGGGCACTTATGTATCAGGAACAAGTTCCAGGAAGCCTATTATTATCCCAGTGATAACCTCCAAGTATTCATTTTATAGACGCTCTAAATAGATACCGCGGATTAAAAATTACCAAAAGATGGTTTGGCAGTACTGTGAATCAAACCAGCCTCTTTCTGATTCTAATCTAATACCCGCTTGTGAACCAACTTTCCCATAATAAAATGTTTACAAAGGTTATAGATAACAATTTCCTACCTTTCTCATTCAGCAAATTGTTTACATAGTTTAATTATTACTCCATTGGTCGGTAATTCTGACTTTTGTGTGTACACTTACCGCATTATTGAAAAATACTCACAAATAAAAAGAATCAAAATATGTTTATTTTGAAAAATTCCATTAGAATGTTACAGCTGTATTTACAAATACATAAATAATTACGTAAAGTTCAATAGTGAACATTAATTTACTTATATTTACATCATATACAACATAATATCTCAAATATAAACTACCCCATAAATAAATGATCCTCCTTTAATAAGTAGGTAGATTTTAAAATGATCTCAAAAAATGTATGAGAACCCACTACAACTAGAAATGTATTTGGTTCCGTTTTAAACGGTGTTCTAAACGTAATATTTTTTCTTGTTACACCCACTTTTATATACTTGGTAATACATCACAAGAACAGGAAGAAAGTAATATATTAGTAAATAGGCACCCTGTATTCAGTCGAATCAAAATTCGTTACGGCATGCATCATCATTTTTTTTTTCTGAATCTTTCCTCGAGTTCACCGGGAACCTTAAATCAAAATAACTAACATGTAAAATTGTGCAAATACAATTCGAACTTATAGTCAAGCATGCTAAATATCTTAATCTAGCCATTATCTGAAATATTAACAAATACATAAAACAGGGCTAAAGTAATATTAATACACGTATTATTAACAGTTAAAAACTAGTAAGAATAGGTACAACAAGCGGTGGTAACCATAAATTAGTGAACGTTAGATACAATTTAAAAATCAGTTTTCAATGAATACTATGTTATTCATACAAAAATAAGAACTGTGTGAAGTAGCAACACAAAATCAAGCTCGATTGCACAAGTTAATTACCATGGTATTGCATTAATACTGTGTACAATCGGCCCTTAGACAAAGAATAACTATTGTATCTGACTAAGAAGTGAAAACCACAACCGAATTACGTTATTCTAGTACACTAATTATTCTTTGCCTTAGACTTACAGAACAAGCTGTTAAGTACTATCTACTACATACTTTTTTAATAATCTGAAAAAATCAGCTGTACTTCGTACTGCGAAGTATTAATTTGAATGCAAGAGAGCACTACTAGAAGTACAGCCAATCACAGCCATGTTACATTTTAAATGGGCTCAAATTTGAAACAGGCTCAGTCCAATTTGCCCAATTTTGATTAGACACGATTAGGAAGCAATTCTTCACATACAGTGCGTTTGCGCAGAATGTAAATAAATTAATGAAAAGATTGAGAAACATAGTCATTTTGTTTTAGATAAAAACTGAAACGTTCTAAATTTGAAATAATAACCGCGTCGACTAAATAAAACATTGGAAACTTTCTACACTGTATAACGATCTAAAGTTTTGAACCCAACATGATTGTAGATTATGAAACTTGGTTGTCTTAAGGACCACTTGTGATCTTTGGAATATACATACTCATAGCAATGGATGAGCTTGTTGCAATTGATCTTTTTTTGATTTGTCCTCAAAATTTGATACTTTTACCGAAGTAATGGGGTATGGATTTCATATGTGTTCATGGGATTCGTACCTTCTTTTTTTCTCACTAGTCTTGAAATTTTGAAAAATCTGAATGTGTTGGTAACAATAAGTACAGACCACTTGTCAAATTTTATTGTACAGTTACGAAACAAAAAGATTAGCTAAGCAGTTACTGAATAAGAGCTGCCCAAAATAAATTATATGAGATTTTATACCATGAAACTGCAAATATAAAGAAGGTACATTTAAAAATAGAGTAATTACCACCCTCTGAATTAGTAGAATTCCAAAGCTTTGATCAAAAAATTTTTACCCTGTGTTTCCTATGCGAGATTGTAAAATTAAATAATTTGATCGTCAGTCAAAACAGCACACAAGAGATTTTTAAGATCACATTTGCTGCAACTTTAGAAATAATAATTTTAAAGAACTCAGTTCGTGTCTCTGTACGCTTACTTATATTTAATATAAGATTTATAAAAGTGTTGAACACAGACAATACTTACGGAATTTCCATCATTAATTAACTATAGGTACATTAAGCTTTTGTACTTTCAACTGAATTCTTAAATCTTACATAACACCAACAAAATTCAGAATTATGAAGAAAAATGAGAAAGTGCATTAAGAACTATGCACGTTCTCATTAAAGAATAACATCTTGGAATTAAGAATCTCTAGTATATTACAAATAAAATATTACTAAAGACATATCACAGATCAAAAACAAATACCATCCCAATTTGCTGCTTAATACAAACAAAAACTGTTTAATGCTCACAGCAAATTTGAGTAATATGTATTGCTAAAAATTATAATGATATTGCCATAAGTGATAAATTTGTGCTTGACGACTGGTCCCTACCACTTGAGCATAGACTATATTTGAGGTATTACTAAATTAGTGCAGCAAAAACGATTAAGACATTGTTATTAAGTTAACATTAGTAATTTAGTCAGTAGTAACGTCAGAGATCACATCGCATACTTTCCCGGGTTCCTGAAACAGTAATTAGCGTGCAAAAGGAAGTACAAAAATGGCAATATGACAGATAATGGCGGTTAGTTCAAACTAATGCCTTAAGTATAGTTAATAGTCAATCATATTTACCTTAGGTTTGGGACGGTGCGTATCGACGGCCTCGATGTTCAGCTTGATCTTTTCCATTCTACAACCGTAGGCGACTGGCGTCAGTTTTATGATGGTGTGCAGCGGAACTTTCAAATAGGGCAGCTCATCTGGAATAAGACACAGGAATGTCAATTTTGTTAACAGAAATCAATGGGACATGTTTCCAAGATTTACTATAGTCTCCTGGAACTGGAATGTTAGAAGTGCAAAATTTTAGTCTTGTTTAAAAACTTAATGGTTTTTTTAGAAAGACTTAGTCAAGCCTCAGATGGTTTCGTCCTTGATTAGAATAATGTAGACTCAAATCGACGCCCAAGATTAATTATTTAATTTGATAAGACATTTAAATGGTATGAAATTTGCAGTTGTGTTCTTTTGTTAAATTTTATTACCTATCTTTTAAGATTTTGTATGAAGTTGGATTTGTGCAATAAATATGGCTTTAGATAATAATTGATACGAACGCGTTCGCCAATGTCAAATTTCGTTTTCATTTCCCTAGCTCAAACTTCTATGGGCACTTTTTTCAGAGGATCTCAATTGGTTATCAGAATTTTCATAGCATGCTAGATGTAGAAGCTACAGGCTATTACTTCCTTATTTCTTATAGACGCCATATTGGATTTTTACGAAGTGAGATAGAGAAGACAAAAGACGAAAAACAACGACGGATCACAGTTTATACCTACATAAATTTACAAGAAAAATTTTAAAATCAAAAGTTTTACATTCATTTGTCAACAAAACATCCAAAGGGAACTAGATCTTGTTGAATCAACATCGCTATGGCGATGCAATTAGAGCTGTTGTCTTGCGATGCAGGAGTTTACGCTAGAGGCAAATTGAGACATGCACGTGGGATACGACACAGCACAGCGCGTGTTTTTGTAACCTATAGGATTCAATCAGACAACGCACATTGATGACGCGAGGTGGCGTGACCTGACAGTTCCATCGAACGTGCGGCACAGTGGTCGAGGACGAGACTCAGTTTTGTATGTCAAACGTTCCACCTGTTTCTACATTCTTCATTATAATTCTTCTATTTTTTTAACGAAAAATTATATTTTCCAATATGACGTTTGTGAGTAGTTAACTTAAAAATGCGTGTCAATATACGGATCCCCGCGCAGCACGTGTAGCGCGTACGGCTCGTCTCGAGTGTCATGTCACCTCACACGTGCTACACGTGACTCAATTTGCGCCTAGCCTAAAGCGGTTTATCTTTAGCGACGGCGACTTTTGCATTTCGTTCAAATTGCATTTTGTATTGCATCGAGAGAAGCCGTATCATTTTGAATCCGATTTTAAGGTCGCGTTGCGCGTTCAGTGCTAGATTTTAACGCAAGGAGTAATATGAATCTACCAATAGTATTGACAGCCGAGCACTTTCAAGTTCTTTTAAGGCTAATTGGTAGGTTGTACAACGCAACCTGTTGAAAATGAACACAAGACATGGTTTATATATGGATATTGGTTACGCAGGGAGAAGATACCTAGGACAGATTTGAGTTTTGACCCCATTACCGGTATTTTTACAGAAGATACGTGATGACGAACTGTTACTGCTGTAAAAGAAGAACCTTTCGATCGAACAAGAACAGCCTCGGGTAGTAGTCGCAAAATTGTGTGCTACGGATGTGGTGCACCAAGCGTAATCCGGTGCAAATGCCCAAAATGACAACCCAGATCATCAGGCACAGCCGAACGGAATTCCCTCCAGTTTTTTTCTACTGATCGTACTGTTGGTGTGGCTGCCGCCGCACATTTTAACCAAATGGAGTAGGATTTTAGACACGACGAAGGTGAGGACCTTACCCTTGATCAGAATGAAAAGGTCAACGAACACTTGTTACTATGTGAAGTCTTCAGGATGCAGGAGCGAGAGCCCCAACCGAATTCGCGGAGCACCACATCGAGACTGCCACCAAAGAACCGATTGCTGTTCTATAGTAGATTTTCGTCGTTAAATCAGGATACCGCGAAAGTGATCGCGAGAAAACCTGTTTTGTAATGCCATTTGAAACTTACTGTTTTACTAGGATGCCGTTTGGGTAGAAAAATGCGCCCGCGACGTTCGTACGACTGATTGACCTGCCGGGTTGGGCGATTGTGGCGTCTACGGTATCTAGACGATAATTTAGTGGTATTAGAGACTTTCGAGCCTGGATGATCTACGCGCGGTGTTACGATATTGGACTTGTTTTGGTGTGTGATTTTATTTTTTGACGATGACAGTGGTGCTTGTATAATTTTACTTTTGTATTTCGTTTCAAATAAAGAATGCTTAACAGTCTTCTGTAACGGAACAAAACTGAAATCCCCGAAATATGCACTTCCAACTACTGAAATAGCCGAAATATAAACAAGCGCTGACTAACCGCAAATAACATTTGGTTAATCACAATTAGTCGATTCATCGCGATTAGCCGGTTAACATGAATTAGTCGATCAATCGCTGATATGGATAACCGTCGATAATAGTAACTATCAATTAATAACTATTGCAGTGTGAAATCAACATTTGACACACAAAACAGTATTTATTTTGAGACCTTGCACCTAATGTTTGATAAAAATTACCTGATTAACCAGATGTCTGTGATTAACTGATCATTTGTGATTTTCAACATACCAAATTAATCAGACATTGATTATCCTTAGCCAGCACTAACACTGAATATCAAAATATATGACTTACCTGCCGATTTATCTAAAAAGTATGCAAGAAGACATCTTAAGACAGCCTGATGCGAAACGACTAGCACATTTTCTTGTCTTTCCAACTCCATTATCACAGGTTCAAGCCTGGCTACCAAGTCTTCGTAGCTTTCTCCTCTCGGATAACGGTAAGCAAACTTATTGCAATCCCTAGCTGCAAAATCGTCGGGGTATTGATCTTTGATTTCTTCGTACGTCATTTCCTCGCAGATGCCCTACCCAATAAGTACAGTTACAAGATAAAGAATAAGTTATGTTTTAACTTACGGCATCGATTTCGTTTAACGCCTTCCACCGTTCTTGTGGCGCTTGAACATCGCTAACAGTCTGAATTGTTCGTTTCAACCATGACGTCCACACTCGCAACCCCTCAATTTGTTGTTCTTTAATAAACTTGGAAAGCGCAGTTGAGTATTGTTTGCCCCTGGCACTTAAGTTTGAATCCCCACCTATCCTGCCCTCAAGATTCTGTTCACTTTCTCCATGCTAAAAATTTGCTGTTAAGAGGCTTGTTTAGGGACAAAATTGATATCAGAAATGAAATGCGATGTTTCTGATATCCTACTGGAGGTTTAGATGAAACTTACTCTGGTCAGATAAATTGTCCTAGGCGTGATATGAATGTTCATTAGGTAATATACAATTCGAGATTGAATGTGTCCCTCATGTTTATGAACGAGCACCTTTTCTCCCGTATTGTATATTTTCATAAACGACAAGTCCCCCTCATAAATTTCGTCCATGGGTTCGTACTTCTCCTGGTAATGCTCGATACGTTTCAAAAAGTCGATAAGTACCGCGTCCTTATTCATGTTCGCATAATCCGGACTACTTATTTTTACTTCTTTGATATTCTGCTCGATAATTCTGGGATCGTCGCAAAATGACTCGACGAAAAAAAGCTTATATCCCATACGGTCAACGACGGTTTCCTGTATCATCCGTCTTCTCTCCAACGTCGAGTTGGTGGCATCAAATACGGCCACCTCGCCGCCGTTTTCGAGCCACTGACAGACGTCTTCGAGCGCCTCCACCGCGCACCTATTACGAATTGCCATCGCTTCGGCATTGTCTTGACGGAAGAATTCGTGACTTTGGTAGGCTGTAGTTGCGTGACGACGGTATTCTCCCAAGTTGAATACTAAAAATAAAAATGAAGATTCAAGTTAAGAATCATCTGGATCATACTAAGAGCGCCTGACAATTTGTTAAACTATAATTATACGGTGACGTAAATGAGGTGCGAATTTGAGTTAATGGAATGCAAAGCAGTGAAGGCAATATTCTATTGCGGGTGAGCAATCTTGAAGTAGGATTTTACAAAAATGTTTACATCACAGGGGGAAAGGTTACAATCCCTGGGGGAGATTATGTTGTTTGATCTGTGACAATTAAGAGCCTGTTCAGGAATTAAAATACGATTTCAAGATATGTTAAAACGTTGAAGGAAAATTACAGGGCGTGGCGTCAAGGTGCCTACCTTGAATAAGTTTGAATTTCTCATGGGAATTGCGCTGCCGGCGTCTTGTATAACAAGTAGCATTGAGGTAACGATGAATGAAAGAAACATGTCCATCATCGACAAAAGTAATGATAATCAGAAGCTTACGGCCACTTAGGCAAGCAAACAACCACACACTCTCTAAAATGGCAACGTTTAGGTATATATTCTCCGGCGAGGATCCGTGTGGCATACGAGTGTATGCGCACATCGTGCATAGGCCTAAGACCATTTTTCTCTAATTCATGAAATATTAATGTGTTCTTGACACTGGAATAATTTGAAACCTTCTATATGCATTTTTCATTAAATTGTTCTCAACGGCAGGAAAGAAGGAAAAAAAACCGCCTCACCTGCGATTTTGAGTATGGTCTTTGGAAGAGGTATACAAAAACGAATTGGACGATTTTTTGCCACTTACGTAAAAGGTTGGTAATAACGATTCGTTACAAATACCGAACAACAACGAATCGCCGCCGTATCAACGGGAGTTATGCGGATTTTATGGTCGGAAACCTCTGAAAGAGGTCGTGCATGAGCATGTCGAATGCAAGCTTATCGCATTTTTTACTACCCGCATGTTAGTAAGCGAGGTATTGCAGTGTGGTAAAAAATGACCCCCTCCCCACTTTTTTTACGCAAATACACGTATTGAAGCACCAGGAATGCGAATCAAACAAAATCTCCAAGATGTCGGTCTGTTTGTCGGTCCGTCTAAACTCTTATTTCCGGTCTAAAAGGCTGAATTCATTGGAACCAAATGTGGTACGCATATTCCTAAGACATAAAAGGACAGAATCGCGCATGCGCAGCTATGCGGGAGGTATCTATGCTAGCCACAGCAAATTTTTTTAAAAGCTGTATTAAGTACGTTTCTCTGGAAGTTTATGGACTGGAATCATTTTCTTATTAGCGGTGTCCCACGCCTCGGATAACTTGAAATCTTGCATCTATAATCTTGGAAATTTTGGACGGAGTTAAAGTAGTTTACACTACATTAGAAGGGCATTTAAAATACTGTGGGGGGGGGGGCTGTACTACAAGCATCTGTAGCATGGAGACTGCAACACGTTCCACAAAATTTCAGTTTTAAACCGTCACTTATAACATCAGTTTGGTTAAATGGGGAAAAAAAAAACTTGATGCTGAAATGCGCTGTTTGTGAATCGTTTATGACTCAGTTTATGATCTCTGTTATAACTTGTTACATTTTTTTCCCCGAGACCCATAAAATGTATCAAGAATAAAGAATTACTGGCGATAATATGATGCGCATTGTACATTTCTCAAGAATGTAAATTTTGTATCGGTTTAGTCTCAGTCTTAACATCGTCATCGATATTGAAGTGATAAATAATGCAACTTGGTTCGTGTTATAAATGGAAGTAAGTGTAATAATTGAAGTAAATTGAGTTTATCGTTAATAGCATGACAGTATTAAAAGGGGACACAGTCCTAGCTAGGACTAGGTAGCTATTGCGGCCCCTATTTTTTGAACATGCTAAAATTTCATCAAATGTCGATGTCTTAGACAATTTTAATAAACTTTTAAATAATAAAATTGTTCGTCTGTATGTACGTACGTGCGTTGGCAAAACCTGAGAAAAATTTAAAAAACACAATATTTTTTGTTTGCAAAATGGCTACTATGATTTCGTTAACATTTTGCATTAAGCATGAAGGATGTAAGCCCGTTAGAACCGTTTTTTTGTACCTATCTGAGTTTTTAGCGCCGTGACGTCATACAACTTTTTTTTCAAATAACGCAACATTTTCAGTAAACTATTAGAAAGACTTTCTGTTTCTGTGTAGAATCTACAAAAATTATGCTAGTATTTTTTTTGGCAAAACGGTTATTAGGATTTCGGTAAAATTTTTGGCAGTGTATATTTTACATAAAGTATGTAAAACTGTCAAAAACTTTTTTAAATATAAGTTTTTAACGACGTGACGTCATACTACTGTTTTTTCAAAAAGTAATCCATCTTTTTTTTGTTAATGAGCGAAGTTTTCATATCATTTCAAACACGACTACTACCGGAAGCAACGTTGCTTGACTGTAGATAATAAATGAAGTATGAGTAATAAACACAAAAAAGTTAAAAAAGTCGCAATAACGTGAGGCCCGACCATCAGAGTATCATTCCGTAATCTTATATTTGAATGTCACAGTGTGTCCCATTTATCTTAAAACAGTCAATTATTGCAGGAACTTGCGGAATCTCAAAAAAGATTTAGGTATATAAAATACTCTTGGTATGGAGGGGCTCATTTTCACTTAACTATCCAACTAATTTTTTTGAAATAGAAAGCTATACTTTTTATTGAATATTTTTGTTATACAATGGAAAATATCGTAGGAAACGTTTTTTCCCTACACTTACCGTTTTTTGGACACTTTTCTAAAAGCGCGAATTCTTAAACGCCAACCTGCGTAGCTCAGATGAGTTTTACGTTAGCTCTAGCTCTGGCTACAAGGGTCCTGGGTTCGAATCCCAGGTAAGGCATGGCTGTTTGTGATTGTATAGTGGGTTGAGTGGGGAGAATAGCTAATTAGCTAACACTCCGCCCACTATAAAATAAAGGCAATAAAAAAAAAATCGATATCGAAATGATAAATAATGAGATTCGCGCTTGTATTATAAATGTGAGTGATAATGATAAATAATAATTATCTGATTCATCCTATTACAGGACATTTATTAAAGCTACGTTATTAAAAGAAAGCTGATAAGGATAGCTTTTATAGGTATAATTTAAAGAAAAATGTGGAAATCCGCACCCCAAAAAGTTGTAAATGATAAGAGCTTGATATGGTTAAAAATTAAGATTGTGTTATAATCTTCTTTGGTGGTATTATTAATTGAAAATTAATTTTCAGATCTTCGTGGATTAGGGGTTTGTAGCCCTCCTGCATTTATACTGTACGACAGACTTCGACCTAAAAATTGAATTTGATGTCACAACCTTGAAATACATTTCTAATTTTAAACTTTTTTATTACTACAGAGACAGCTGTAAATGTCGCCTATACATATGTACAGAAATTTTAATCGATTTCCAGTTTTTCTTGTACATTAAAAATCCCGTCGAGCAAATCGGAAAACCTAAGCAATGTAGGTACAATGTTAAAACACTTGACAACTATTTATAATGGTCATATTCATTATAGGTATTTATTTAAAAGTTTATGCGAATCAAATACGTAAATCATCATTTAAAATACACTCATTTTCACTCACATGTAAATTAAAGGAGCGGATGATTTTAATTAGTGCAAAGTTAATGATAAGGACAATAAAGAAAACTCAAAGGGCACACTCTATTTAAAAACTATCTTACCTACCTCTTGTGTTGATGCCAATCCAATTGAGATAGCGCGATAACTTTTTGGAAATGTACGTTTTACCCCTCGCTGGCAATCCGACCATGGCAATGACATGCGGACTGTTGACATAATTCGCCCTTTCACCTGAAACAAAACGATACCTAATTAATTCTTTTTCGTTTAACTCGAATATTTACCAATTCGGATCGATACGCAACGTTGAAATTGCGACCTGCGCCGTTTTAACATTTTCGGGGCGAATTTTTAACTTATTCCTTTTTTAGTGAATACATTTTCTACATAATTTGTGCTCGCGACAAGGATGAATGGGGCCTTCGAACGCGTGCACCTACGTACTACACGAAAGTTACCTAACGCTAACCAACGCGACTAACAATGAAAACTAAAAATAAATTTTTAACAGCGGCGTTCGGAATCGGTTAGTTTATGTGCCACAACTACGTTAGTCACATGGAACTTGTAATTAAAACAAATTTTTAGCGTTTCTTCATTATCTTATCTTAATTGTCGAATTGTGGTTGCGCCATAAGGTACAACAGGAATTTTTCGAAGGTGTCGCGAACGGTAAAGTGAGGCTCTTGCGACACAGCTCAATAATTTTACGCAATGTACTTATTTGCTTAAAGAATTTCTAATTAGCACACTTGCAAATTACGTTACGCTCTTTTTATTTTTTTGAAATGCGCGTAGAAACTATTTGCAGGCAACCCGCACACCGCTGCACTTAATATGGTTGCTTGTCGCATATAGGGATATTTCAGTGCGAACTTTTGCCACCTCCATTTTAAAAATGAAAACTTGATGCTGACATTTTCAAAATAATAGACGAGATCGTTGATAATCCCAAAGGATATAGCAGACGACGGACTTTTATCTACGTCGTTGACACGCAAATGAATCTTTATCGTCAGCGTCTGGTGGAATTTTCCTAAAAGATTTCCAGGCAGCCCCAACAAAGTAACTTAAGACAATCCGAAAAGGGTGGAGGTGGAAATCAAAAGGCGATCAATTTATTAGGATTTGCAAAAATAAAAATCTCGACACACTGCTTCGAAAGGAATAAAGTAGCATTTGAATTTATACTAAATTCAATGAAAGTAACTGGACCACATAATGAGTAGTACTCTATATTCTGGAACTGGGCTACGAAAAGTCATTGCCTCAAGTTCTACATACGCACATATTCAGGCTTGGACTGAGCCAAATTGCCCTATCTACCATTTATTTATTTTTTGAGAAAAAACAAAAAGCCATTCTTTATCAAAAGTCCTGCTTGTTCCAAAACTCTAAATACACCTCGAAATGCAGCATTTTGTTTTCCTTTAAAATGCAGAGTTTTCAAGTACATTGAAATAAACCTCTATTGACAGATAAAATCAAGTAATCACAATCCAATAGCACGTAACGAGATCAATTATCTGCTTAAAGGTGAGTTGACACGATGCAAGTACGCTGACGCCCATGATACCTACTACAGTCCTGTAGTATCTCTATTTATGGCTTGACGCCAGTAAAGTGAATGTAAACCGAGTTGTACTGCCCGCGCATTCAGGTCAGTTTACTGGCGCCAGCGTACTTCATGTAAACGCGCCTTTAAGCTTAACATTCTATGCACAGATATAGTCGGGGACACATTTCAAAAAAAGGCATCCCTATGAATTCAAGAAGTAAATCGGGTAACAATTGAGCAAACGGCTGATATCCCCTATTTCGATCCCGCTGAATCCGAATCTGCCATTTGCCAAACCGTATTTTGCACCGGAAGCCGTGTATTCAAGATGGCGTCTGAAACCGAATACGCATGGTTTTTTCGCCTCTGTGGACCAATTAACGCACTTTAAACGTCGGGATGAGCGTTTTCGATGATGAGGAGGTCGGCCAAACACTTAAAATAGAATAGAACAGTTTAATGAAGCAAAAATGTTGAAAATACTTTATTTATAAATTTTAGTAGAAATTATGAAAATTTTGAAGAAGAAATGACATAGCGTATTGAAATACTTCTCAAGTCACACCACCACGACAATTCATAAAATAGACTCTCCCCCCTCCCCCAGCGCCTGTCTCCCAAGGCTCACACCCCTCGCCTGGGTGGCTTTTGAGCACGACAAATCCTCCTCTGGAACGCCTAAAGGAGATCGCCTCTTTAATACCACATCAACACAGGCGTGCCATGCAACTCTACCACTTCAATTTAATCATGTCAGTTTGGCATCATTACTGTGAAGAACAAGGATAGCGTTATCGAAGAATGACGCACATTAATAAGAGAGGCATTATTTAGTCCATAAGACCCCATGATACTACAACTTAACAAAGACCCCATACAGCATACTGCATCTGGAGGTTTTTTGCGATGCCTGTCCGTTAGCACAATGGCCCGTATGAATAAAAGTAAGCAAATGCTTATACTTGCAAAATTCAAAGTAAATACTCGTAACTGCCCCTTCATACTGGTCTGTTTAGCATGGTTTAGCAGCGCTGCACTGCGTCCTGCCCTTCTGCTTAGAAGCGCTGCTAAGTCGCCCAGTGCGAAGGAGCACTTACGAGTATTTACTTTGAATTTTGCAAGTATAAGCATTTGCTTACTTTTATTCATACGGGCCTATAATCTCGAAAACGAATGAACCGATTACGATGAAATTTTGCAGGTGGATTCTTTATCAAATTTGTAGATCGGAGTTCGTAATTTGGCAATGTAGGCCAAAAGATAAAGAAGGGTCGATAAAGTTAAACAAATGATGCGTATAAATAACGATTTTGGCAACTTTTGATCTTTTTTAGGGAATAGATAAAATAAATAAATTTACATATTTGCAAACTCATTAATATTGTAACGGACAAAACTTTGGCAATGACTCTACAAATTTGAAATGTAAAAACATTGGAAATATTCAACCATATTCTGCTTTAAACATGAGTTCACATTTGATTTTAAAAATAACTTGGTGCCTGTTTGCAAACCTAATTAATTTTTTTATCGTTACATAATAATTAACATACATCAAAATATTTACACTACGAGCTCTTATAGATAAATAAATAAATCAGTTAGATAGAAAGTAAAAATTAGAAAAAGGCCATACGTGCATATTGTGAAATAGGCAACACATCATACATGTACATAAATTTAGTTGCAAAGGATGAATCGATCTATGCCCGCCTTCCTACTTTTAGCACCGGATTAGCGATAAGCAGTGAATGATACCGAAATTAACTACGAAGAAGCATTATCAGGATGACGTAATGAACTGTAGATAGATACAAAGTAAAAATTCCACGTACCAGTCTGTTCTTCAAAAGTCATTGCAAAGCGATATAAATCAATTGGTGTCACTTGAAAAAAACAAAGCAGTAATGATAATGAAATTTATCTTGCAAATGATTCGCCACCACGTGACTAAATAGTCGGTTGCCGTTGGCTGCGCTTAATTTGGTAGTAAAATTACAGATTATCAAGCGAGGTTGCTTAATTATTTTTTTTCTAGTACATTTAATCACTATTTAATTATCCGACCTAACGAGGGAATGATTTTCGAAAATACAGTTTTTTTTAGTATTTTTTGTAAATATCAAAATGGCGCCGATTTAGGAAATTTGTCCGATAGGTATTCTCGCACCATCAGAAAAAAATAAAAACGGGCTTTTCTATCATATCTTCGGAAGCTATCGGAATTTTCCGGTTTCCTTAAACTTAAAGAATGATAATAAAATTACTCTTTAATTGCGCATCTTTTCTCTAATGTGATCAGCGTCATTATCTTCTATGGTTTCAGAGATCTCCATGATGGACATGCTTATCTTGGAGAGGGAAAAAATCGTTTTGTTTTGAGAATAAAAATTCGAACATGTAACCTCCATATTGAATTTTAGTTTGATATTATTTTTTTAGCTTATCCTACCGTAAGTAATTTGATATAGGTGACCATACCATACCACTCACCCTGTACCAAAGAAAAAATGTTTAAGCTGAAGCGGGGCCAATGAACAACCTACATGTCCAACTCTTCAGAAATGTATTCCCATTCATATCCCATATAGCAATTGACTGAGCTCATTGTTAAACAACATGTGTATTATTATTATTATATAGGACATTATAGAATATTAAGAGCAACATTTAGATAGATTCTACATCTACAAATATGAAAAAAAAATACAGATCACGAGTGCTTCCGTTTTCATGATACGGGGTGTTTTAATTTCTGCCGTCTTTAATAGTTTATCTTAATTATTCTACTGATTAATAAATTAATTTTTATCCCGGAAACTGTGAGGAAGTCCAAGGCCAGAGGCACTTCTTAACCAAAATTGAAAATATATCCAGTACTAAGACGCTAATTTTTGCAAAAACCAGTAGCGTACGCATTTCCCTTACGAAACACCACTTATGTAAGTACTAACCAATGTTGTACAGGGTGTCTCATTTTCAGCACTTTGATAGGGAACGCCGTAATTGTTAGTGGGCAAACTTAAAATGGTAAAATCAATATTGGAAAATATTCATCGACTTGTGATACGGGGGAAAATTAAACAATTGTCATCCTTAGAATGACCTTATATGTTCTTAGTTAAAAGGGAAAGTTATAGAAAAATGTTTCTTTATATTAATTGTCGCTTTCAAAAAAGTATAGTAGGCCATGTAAAAAGTCGGACCTAACCTCATTTTTTTAAATAGAGCACCCTGCACATTTTAATAACAAAAGATTCTCTTTTCAAAAATTAACATTGAAAAAATTCAATATTGGTTCAAAGATTTTTAAAAATTCAAAAATCTGTTTGAAATTTTTAAAATCTTTTTTAAATTTTTTGAATCACCTGAATCTTTTTGAATATCATCCCACCTTTAAATTTTTGAAATGAGAATTTAATATACATACTATTATTTTCGATTAAAACATACATGGTTGTCAGTTTAAAGAAATGAGGTTAAGTCCGATAACTTTTTTACCTAACCCCGTACACTTATTTTGAACTGCAAATTGTTCAACATTCTTTATAAAGAAACTTTTGTATAAAACAATTTTCTGTATCTCTTTGAACAAAGAAAATATATAGTAATTCTGTGACAATATTTTCATATGTCGATTTTACCATTTTATCACTACTTTTTTGATAGTTCTAACAATTACGGATATATCCTATAAAAGTATCGAAAATAAAACACCCTGTAAATGTTAATGCGACCAAAATACGATATTTATAAAACGTAAATTTTAGAATATTACGCTTCTTTTCATAAAAACACAAACTTAAAATAACAAATTATTGTTTAGGATTAGTTATCTAAATGTGGCATGGTACATCAAACGACGAGGTACGGTTTGATTAGTCAGTGTATGATGTGTTGCCTACTTTTTAGGGTTGATGTTTGTATTAAAATTCGAGTCAAAATTGCGTGTGAACGTTGCAAAAATAGTTACGCACATTTTCAATTTTCAAGTATCCACCCCCTAAATTTAAATGTATTACGAATGAAGTTGGTGTACATTTGGCTGCCTACCTTCCCATCTTGGTTTGCATTCAAAGGAAGCAAATATTCAGTTTTCC